ATTAGGTCTCGCACCAATGTTTCTTCCAGGGGAGACTGTTTTCGGGGAAGGGGAGGGGGGAGCTCTGCCGGAAGAAACAATGTGTCATACCCATCACCCGTGCAGTAATGTAACCGGTAGCTCCAAGAGCCCCTGACTCCACTGACACCTGGGCCGTCGCCGAGGGATTTACAGCATGCCTTGGCGTGTCTAGTTGGTAGTGTGGACAAACCCGCGCCCTAAGATCCAAGAAATGAACTGCCGACATTGTTAACATTTAATTCAACTTTTGGAAAACAGGGCACACGGTTAGTAACGTTTTGATGAAAGCCTCAGTTTGGTGTGTTGGACTAGATTTAGAAAGGGGCCAGCTCGTGTGTTTGAAAACCTCTGATTTATTCGTGTACCAGATGGAATTTTTTTAAAATTGAGAGCGAACCTTGTTATATATATATATATATATATATATATATATATATGGGCCCAAAAAAATTCTTCGGGGGGGGGGGGGGGGGGGGGGCTTTTTTTCTAGTTCCGCCACTGATGCACATGACATGTTGTTGTGATTAGATTTAATTGAATTTTTTTTTTCAAAACCCGATCAGGCCAGAAATGAGTATCCTATGTTCGTATTGTGTGTTTATATATATATATATATATATATATATATATATATATATATATATATATATATATATATATATATATATATATATATATATATATATACATATATGGGGGCCCAAAAAAAATTTTTGCGGGGTGGCCCATTTTTTTTAGTTCCGCCACTGATTTATATATATATATATATATATATATATATATATATATATATATATATATATATATATATATATATACATACCAGTGGGGTACCTAGGATTTTTTCGCCCCAATGCAAAACTTATCAGTGTGCCCCTTCGTCAACCGTTAGGCTACAATGGAATTAAACGAATAAATCAACTGCTAATCATGATAAAGGATTTTAAATAATATAAATATTCTGTACATTTTATGTTTTATACTATATTACTATGTATTTAAAAAAAAATATTACGGGCTTACAGTTAATTTGGTTTTTTTAAGTAATCTAATACAGTTGCGTGATTTAAGACTGTTGGTAGAGGTGAGGTCTGCATTTGATGACAACATTTATACCTGATACTTTGACAAAACATTATAAAATTTATTGTCATAGCTGTGTTGTATCCAGCTAAATTAATAAAAGATTAATGAGAGTAGGGTGAAATGTAAAATTGCTGTGCATGATAGGGGGACACCTTTAGTAAACGCGTAGGGTAACACTCAACTTTTTGACGCCTCTAACCAAACACATTTTAAAAAAAAATTGCTTATGATTTATTTAGATATGTTTTTTTTTCATACTTTTAATTTTGTAAAATGATTAATAAATTCATTGAGATCTACTTTAGCTGCTTTTGAATGTTTGCTGTTTAGAATAGCCAAGCTACTGACCGAATGGGCTTATCTAAAATTTGTTTCATAATAAATAACATCATCATAATGAGCAAATAATTACATTTAAAAAAGCCATCATAGACATCAAAATCTCCTTCCCGATCTCCGTGGAATGTTAAAGAATGTTTTAACTAACTAGCGTACCCGTCCGCGTTGCTGCGATCTAGTACCACATACCATGGTAATAAAACAATTTGTAAAGGTTTCATCAAAGTGTTACCAATTGCATATTTTTAGTCATGTGAACTTGTTTTTTAAAATTGAGATAGGCCTAGTTAAAATGTAAACAACACCCCTGCTGTTTGTTTCGGGGCTCGGGCTGGTCCACTCTACTGCTCAGATGCACTTGCGTGTGATGTATGAAAGCATTGAGTGTACGTTATTTATCCTCTGTAATAGTGAGTTGAATACTTTTCGGCGACCGCCTGAGTGTCCGGGGCGTCGCGGGAGTGACTAGTTACACTACCGTAGGTAACCAGATGCAACCTTTGGTTCGTTTTATTCATCGAAAGTAGAAGCCCTAATGTAGAATACGCGTGTAATTGTTGTTAAAAATTGTCATCCGTACGCCGAGGGCGTCAAAAGCTGCCCCTGTTGCAGTTTAACCATTGAATCAAGTAGTACCTTGCAAGATGCCCAATCTACGGATCTTGTGTACTCAGGTAGCCGCTGGGGAACTCAGGACACCCATCCTTTACTACTGCTGATGTGCTGGAGAACACCCCTTCATTCGATTAAGGAATCAAATTTAGTTTGTCAGCGTATCCCTAATGTATGGCGCTCATTAAAATAGGCGCCGTAGTGTTCATGGAGGGAGCCCGGGACGCACAGGGTTACACTACCGTCGAGTGTCGGACACCCAATCAACGGACCCCAGGTGCAAAAATAGTCACTGGGGAACTATGATTTTTTTAAATGGCTCAATTGTTAGCATGGATGTTTAGTAAGATATAATTTCCTGGAGGGCAGACAGTTGGGAGAGAGGTTCAGGTCTCTGGTGTGGGGTAGGGAATTACCCAGTTAGTTGAGGTTTGTAGCAATGCACGTAAATGTACGGATGCTGGATGCCGAACTCACAAAAGAGTCAGTTCAAGTTTGTTTATAGGCTAATTCTCTCAATGGCTTGCACGACCATGCGGCAATGCCTGAAGTGATATTATTATGGATTGGTCCTGTTCGACCCCCTTCCACACACACACACACACTAACACACACACACACACACACACAATCTGAATCCCACTACTTGTAAAGTAAGGAATGACAAGGGGCCTTTTTGGGACTTTTAATTATTTCTATAATAGAAAAGAAACTGGATTTTCATTTTCTTTTTAAAACTATTTATATAAAACAAATAATGAAATTGCAATGTAAACGTTTTAATTTTTCAAAGAGGTAAAATGGACCCAAAATGCTTTGGGCCCCTATGCCTTGCTTACGCTAGCTTTACGGTAACTACACCACTGATATATATATATATATATATATATATATATATATATATATATATATATATATATATATATATATATATATGTTGCAGCCTTTTTTTAAAAGTTAGAAATGAAGCTTTCTCAACATCGTAACAACTTGTAATTTCACTTAGCACAAAACTAACGCATTTATTATAGTGATCATTCAATATGTAATAAACATATCTTTAAGGGAAAGAGCACAGTTTGTTTCTCTTTTTTACTATTTAAAATCTGAAGCATTTAAAATACTTTTGACCTATTTGGAACATTAAAGCAAGTGCTAAGCACATAAACAGAGTTAAAAACAAATTAGGTTATTATGGAAACCCGAAAAAACATCGGCCATTTTGAACTACTCCTCACTTTTATAAACACTAAGGCTTATTTATGTAGTTAAAGCAATCTAATTTACACCGCTAATATCTCAATACATATTAAAACTTTTGTCACGACAACGATTTGATAGGGCTATTGCTCTGAATTCTACAATGTCCAAAATATTGCACTAAACTTGACATTCGAAAATTTGAATATTGTGCATATTTTTTACTATAAACGTTTTTATTTTTGAAAGCTGTTACAATTCCCTCGTGAAAAAGATTTATTACAGTAAGAATAAGTACTAAGAATATGGTAGGAATTTGAAAAGTAGTAGGCTTTATTGTCAAAATATTTCAAACTGAAAAAAAACCGGAAAAACTATCAGAATCTAGGTCATGAAAATACAGGTTCTGTGTGATTTGCAAATCCATTTGGAAGCTTTGGTGTGTCTGATTCGAAAGAAATTACAAATAACGGATACCGGAGAAATCCGGCTTTCCAGTGATGCCACAAACAATATGAAGGCGGATATAAAACAGTTCGTAGCTAACGTGTAATAATGGGGAAATATGATTTTTTACATATGTAGGCCTACTCATACAAATATTTTTTTAAAACTTTAGAATTTTTTTTCTAATATAAGTTCTTATTTCTGAATTAAGAAATCGACAAACAAACAAGAATTAAAAGAAACATATTTTAACAAAAAAAATCAGAATTTTAGTGGGTTTTTTTTTTCTAGATCCTTTCCCCATATCTTGTTAAATTACAACTTTAAAATTTTAAAAGTAACATCAAAGACCACGCCTTTTTTTCCCCAGATAGACACCAGTGGCGTCTGTCTGGATTTGTACTAGAAGCGCTAGACAGAAAAAGTGGATTATCACAATATATCTATAGAGATCTTCGAAAACATGGGGAGCAAATATATCACTGGAGTATAAAGGGCGTTCTTGCTGATCATGTGCAGATTTATTTGACAAGAGTTCATGCAATAACACTGTGTGAAGTTGAACTTTTTGGAGGTAGAAAATGAAATTTGTTACATGATCCTATTGCAAATCTTTTATGGGGAGATAAAAGTATTGAATGAATGATAAAGAAGTGTGAGGGAGCGAGTTTAAACAGTCGAGTGAATCAATTTAGAAATTAATATTTTTTTAAGCAAACATCGAATACATTTTCCACTTAGGACAAGAACTACATAGTACAGTCTCGGGCAGATGAGGCTCGTTAGCTGGGGATAGCCACTCTTCTAGGAGAGACAACTCCAAAATTAAACAACTGCTGCCTTGTAGTTAGTTCTTGGTTGGACAAAGGATATGGAAGCAAATCCAAAAAGAAAAGCAGGCTGAAATCGGAGTCAATGGCCTCAATGGCGCATAACCAGTTGACAAATAACGCTTAATTGTGTTGGAGCAAAAAGCTCATGGTTGATAAATTCGAATAAATTCTCTAGATCCTCTTCAACACCAATAATTAAGAACGAAGAAGAAGAAAAAGAATTTTCCACTTAGGACAAGAAGTAGGCCCTACATAGTACAGTCTGCATAAACAAAATAACATGACATTGTTTAGATAACATTCCTAAATTATAATTTCTTTGGGTAACGACCTTAAATATTAGAAACAACATTTAACATGTTATGCAATTAATCAAGCACAACCAACCGTTCTTTACTAGAAATTGTACATGTTTTATTAACTTATTCTGTCATTAATTAATTCTGCTATTTAGATAACAAGTGTGAACACAAATATTTTGGTCTAGAATGCAACAGAACATGTCATTGTAGAAATGTCACAGATTCCTGTATGCAATCTACTGGGGCATGTCCATCAGGCTGTGCTGTGGGATACACAGGAGAGGATTGTAGCTTACGTAAGGAATAGAATATTATATATATATATATATATATATATATATATATATATATATATATATATATATATATATACTAGCGTACCCGTCCCCCGCGCGTTGCCGCGGGGATAGAAGAAGGGTTTCATCCATACGTTACCAATCCAATATTCTTAGACGCGTAACCTTGTTTTCTAAAAGAGAGTTATTTAAATGTAAACAATGCCTGCGCTTCGATCATAAACACCGTGACACGGGTTTACCTACACTACCGCGTGAAAACCTTATGTGTACATTAATCACTCACCTAAATAATCAGGTAGAACACACTTCGGTTACCACCCATGTGTCAGGGAAGTAGAGGGGCGCTCTCAGGAGCATCTGCCCTCGATTACACTACTGCATAAGCGCCATGTACGGCCCCTGGCTCCTTAAAACTAACTGGCGCCATCGTGCCAAATAGCATCGTGTTAATAATGATGCAGATTGCGTCATTCACTAAAGTGACACAAACGAACAGGATTTTTTTCTTCAGCACGTAAAAAAATTATTTGACGTGTTTTAAACATCAGTGTGACTGATCAATATTCAAATTTATATAAATTTATTCAAATTTATTCAAATTCAAATTCAAATTTATTCAAACAGCGTTTACAATTGTAGGCACAAAGGCCTTTTTTCACATTGGCCGTTTAAACAAATAAAACAATTCAATAACACATAGCAGTAACACAGCACTAAAAATGTGGAATAAAGAAACAATGGTACATAACTATCATACATAATGAGATAAAAAAGAGAATATAATAATATGCTAGCGTTACTAATGGTCTATTATTAGATGCTCGATCTCAATTTTTCTGACTGGATTGTCTAATAATAGATGCTTATTGCATCATTCGCAAAGTGACGAAACTCTACAGTAGGCTCCTCATATTTATAAAGTTATTTTTTCATCTTTGGCAAGGTGACAAAACTGTACAGAAGGATTTCCTCGCGTTACAAAGTTATTTTTAAAAGCCTGTTGTAGTTTTACCGCTGAATATAGTAGTACCCTTTACTCGGTATGCAGGACGCTCGATTAACGGATGCCAAGTGCCAACATCGTCGCTCTAAAACTCTGGGCGCCAAACCGTGTATTGACGAAAGTTGTACCCTATATCGCGCTGCCCATAAAAAAATTAAGTTTTCTTTTTCGCAGAAATATTCTCGGGAGTATTCTCATCTACTTTCTAAAGTTTTATTACACTAGGGTGAACAGCATCAGAGTTTGTTTTTTTTAAAATACCGTGTATAGAGAAAAAAAATCGCTACCCCTTGGGGGCGCCGCCCTTGCAATATTAAACAATATTTTTTGCAGAACCCTACAATAGAGTAATCTAATCATCTCCTCAAAGTTTCATGGTACACGGATGAACGGTGTGAAACCGAGATTTTATAAACCGTATATAGAGAAAAATCGCAGCCTCCCGTGGCGCCGCCCTTGCGAAATTAAAAAGGATTTTTTTTACAGAACCCTTCGCTGAATTTGTTCTAATCAACTCCCCAAAGTCTGATGGCTATCGGATAACGGTGTCAGACCAATATCGAGTTTTATTTTTATAAACCGTACATAGAGAAAAATCACACCCTCCCGTGGCGCCGTCCTTGCGAAATTAAAAATGATTTTTTACAGAACCCTTCCCTAGAGTTTTATAATGAACTCCCCAAAGTTTCATGCCTATCGGATGAACGGTGTCACTGCAATTCACTTTTATTATTTTTATATACCGTATATAGAGAAAAATCGGACCCTCCCGCGGCGTCGCCCTCGCGAAATTAAAAATGACTTTTTTACAGAAGGATTTCACCAACGCGTTACTAATCATATGTTCTTGGACGCGTGCCGTCTTTTCTAAAAGTGAGTGATTTAAATGTAAACAATGCCTGCGCTTGGATCATGAATACCGGGACACGGGTTTACCTACACTACCGCGTGAAAACCTTATGTGTACATTAATTACTCACCGAAATAATCAGGTAGAACGCTCTTCGCGACCGCCCATGTGCCAGGGACTTAGAGGGGCGCTCTCTGCAGAACCCCCACCCCCCGATTACACTACCGCATCGGCACCACGTACGACACCTGGTTCCTTAAAACTAACAGACGCCATCGTGCCAAATAGCATCCTGTTAACAATTATGCAGATTTTATCATTCGCAAAAGTGACATAAATGAACAGGATTATTTTCTTTAGCACAAAAAAAGTATTTGACGTGTTTTAAACATCAGTGCGACTGATGCAATATGTTAGCGTTACTAATGGAGAGCCACCCCTGCGAATTTGAAAATGTATTTTAAGCAGAAATCTCCACAGGAATATTCTCAACATATTCCCAAAGTTTCATGGCGATCGTGTGAACGGTGTCACTGCAATTCACTTATATTATTTTTATATACAGTATAAAGAGAAATAAGCACCCTCATGTGGCGCCGCCCTTGCGAAATTAAACATGTTTTAGCGCAGAAACCTCCCCATGAATATTCTCAACATCTTACCAAAGTTTCATGGCGATCGTGTGAACAGTGTCACGGCAATTCATTTTTATTATTTTTATATACCGTATATAGAGAAAAATCGCACCCTCCCGTGGCGCCGCCCTTGTGAAATTAAAAATGATTTCTTTTACAGAACCCTTACCCAAAAGGTCCTAATGAACTCACAAGAGTTTGATGGCGATCGGATGAACGATGCCAAATCAAAATCACCTTTTATTTTTATATACCGTATATAGAAAAAAAAAACAAATCGCGCCCTGTTGGGGAGCCACCCCTGAGAATTTGAAATATTTTTTTTCGCAGAAACCTCCCCAGGAATATTCTCAACAACTTCCGAAAAGCTTCACGGTGATGTGATGAGAGGTGTAGTAATGCATAAAGGACCAATAGACAAACAGACACAAACATATATTGCTTTATATATATATATATATATATATATATATATATATATATATATATATATATATATATATATATATATATATATATATACTAGCGTACCCGTCCCCGCGCGTTGCCGCGGGGATAGAAGAAAGTTTGATGAAATATATTAGGATTTCACCAACGCGTTACCAATTATAATTATATGTTCTTAGACGCGTGACCTTCTTTTCTAAAAATGAGTTATTTAAATGTAAACAATGATTGCGCTTGGATCATAAATATCAGGACACGGGTTTACCTCCAGTACCGCATGAAAACCTTGAAACGCAGAGGGGCGCTCGCAGGGCATCCACACCCCGATTACACTACCGCATAGGCACGGCGTACGACCCCTGGCTCCTTAAAACTAACAGGCGCCATTTAAAAAAATTAATAGACGTGTTTAAATATCAGTTTGACTGATGCAATATGCTAGCGTTACTAATGGTCTATTATTAGATGCTCGATCTCAATTTCTGACTGGATTGTCCAATAATAGATGCTTATTGCATCATTCGCAAAGTGATGAAACTCTACAGTAGGCTCCTCATATTAAAAAAGTTATTTTTTCATCTTTCGCAAGCTGACGAAACTGTACAAAAGGATTTCCTCGCGTTACAAAGTTATTTTTAGAAGCCTGTTGTAATTTAACCGCTGAATATAGTAGTGCCCATTACGCGCTATGCAGGAAGCTCGATTAACTGATGCCAAGTGCCAACATAGTAGCTCTAAAACTCTGGGCGCCAAACCGTGTATTGACTAAAGTTGTACCATATATGGCGCCGCCCATAAGAAACTTTAGTTTTCTTTTTCGCAGAAATATTCTCGGGAGTATTCTCATCTACTCCCTAAAGTTTCATGGCACTCGGATGAACAGCATCCGATTTTTATTTTTTATATACCGTGTATAGAGAAAAAAATTGCCCCCCCCCCCTCCGGGGGCGCCTCCCTCGCAATATTAAACAATATTTTTTTTGCATAACCCTACCATTGAGTGATCTAATCATCTCCCCAAAGTTTCATGGTACACGGGTGAACGGTGTGAAACCGAAATTAAACCGTATATAGAGAAAAATCGCAGCCTCCCGTGGCGCCACCCTTGCGAAATTAAAAATGGATTTTTTTTTACAGAACCCTTCCCTGAATTGTTCTAATCATTTCCCCCCAAAATCTCATGGCTATCGGATAACGGTGCCACACCAAAATCAACTTTTAGTTTTAAATACGGTATATTGGGAAAAATCGCAACCTTCTGTGGCGCCGCCCTTGCGAAATTGAAAAAGGATTTTTTACAGAACATTTCCCTAGAGTTTCATAACGAAATCCCCAAAGTTTTATGCCTATCGGATAAACGGTGTCACTGCAATTCACTTTTATTATTTTTATATACCGTAAATTGAGAAAAATCGGACCCTCCCGTGGCGCCGCCCTTACGAAATTAAAAACCATTTTTTTACAGAACCCTTTCCTAGAGTGGTATAATGAACTCCCTAAAGTCTCATGGCTATTGGATGAACGATGCCAAACCAAATTGACTTTTAGTTTTATATACCGTAAATAGAAAAAAAAACTAGTCGCGCCCTGCCGGGGCGCCATCCCTGCGAATTTGAATTTTTTTTCTCGCAGAAACCTCCCCAGGAATATTTTCAACAACTTCTCGAAGTTTCACGGCGATGTGATAAGAGGTGTGGTAATGCATAAAAGACACACACACAGACACACACATACATTGCTTTATATATATATATATATATATATATATATATATATATATATATATATATATATATATATATATATATATATATATATATATATATATATATATATATATATATATATACATATATATATATATAATACTAGCGTACCCGTCCCCCGCGCGTTGCCGCGGGAGTAGAAGAAAGTTTAACGAAATGTATTAGAATGATCTCACCAACGCGTTACCAATCATATGTTCTTAGACGCGTGACCGTTTTTTCTAAAGTTTAAATGTAAACAATGCCTGCGCTTGGATCATAAATATCGAGACACGGGTTTACCTACACTACCGCATGAAAACATTGAGAGTACATTAATCACTCACCGAAATAATTTGCTAGAACACACTTCGGTGACCGTCCAATTGTCAGAGACGTAGAGGGGCGCTCCAAGGGTTCCACCCCCTCGATTACACTACCGCATAGGAGCGGCGTACGATCCCTGGCTCCTTAAAATTAACAGGCGCCATCGTGCCAAATAACATCCTGTTAATAATGATGCAGCTTTCGGCATTCGCTAAAGTGACACAAATGAATAGGATTTTTTTTCTTTAACACGTAAAAAAAAAATAGTTGACTTGTTTTAAACATCAGTGTGACTGATGCAATATGCTATCGTTACTAATGGTCTATTATTAGATGCTCGTTTTTTATCAAATAATAGATGCTTATTGCCTCATTCGCAAAATGACGAAACTCTACAGTAGGCTCCTCATATTCAAAAAGTTATCTTTTCATTTTTCGCATGGTGACGAAACTGTACAGAAGGATTTCCTCGCGTTACAAATATATTTTTATCGCTGAATATAGTACAACTTGAGTACCTTTATAGCTAGGTTTATGAAATTTCATATTATATCAAATGTGTAGTTCCGTATTAACTTTTCAGCGATTTCCGATAATGAAGGTCATTGTGATCCACCGCCTATTATAACCAATGGCCACTGGAGCGCTTGCTCCCATGAATTTGAAGGTGTTTGCTTAATGTTATGTAATACTGGCTACAAAGCTCAAGGTAAAAGAACTATATCATGTCAAGCTAACAAGCTCTGGACAAGCCATGGAAGATGCAAAAGTAAATATTGCTTAACAAATAAAAGCTGGGTTTAAAGATTTTAACGACGAGTAGCTTATTTACAAATAAAAAAAAAAGTGGTAGGCCTACATATCAAAAAGGATAAGCATGAAATTACTGTGGTTGGGAAACTGGCAGTTTTTTTTAGTTTTCACATCAAAATAAATATTATGGTGGACTCAATTACAAATTACAAGATACAGTGTACAAACTTCCCTGTAAGTACCTGATTTAATTTAAGTGTGATTAACAAAACCGCCCACTTTAGATATAGTAGATTTAGAATAGTACTCTTTACACGTGGAATCCCATGCAAAATTAATATAACTTAATATTATAAATCATCAAAATTACAAAAGTGGTCGCAGCTCCGCTGTGGATAAACAATCTAAGGCCGAACGCCTGGTGGTCTAAGCCAGGGGTCTCCAAACTACGGCCCGCGGGCCGGATGCGGCCCGCGATGTCCTCTCATCCGGCCCGCGGAGATCTTTTTGTCCACGGAAAAAAGTTTTGTTGGTGATGGCTGAGGAACTTTGTCCAGAAAAATCAAAGACATGCCTGGAAGAAACGGCCCTCGAAGTGAAATTTGATAGTTAATGCGGCCCTCGGACTGAAAAGTTTGGAGACCCCTGGTCTAAGCAGTTAGAGTCCATTGCAAGATCTGGCTGGAATTGTTAAAAGTCGGTATAGTCCATTAACACACATAAGTTATAGTACTAATAGTGAGTGTACGAAATATTAACGCAAACTAAAAGAAATTTCAAATGAATCCTTATAAAACATTTTTTTACAAATTCCATGGTATATACCTTTAAAATATTTTATTGCCAGAAAGTTCTTCTTTTGATGGTTGTATGGAGGACTGGTATGGCCCTCATTGCCTTTACAGTGAGTATTATGCATTATATTATGATTCAAAAACACTGAAATTACATACACTGATACAAGAATTAAAAAACCCAGTATTTAATCTTTACTCTACATTACTTACTTAGTAAAAGTGTCCATAAATGTAAATAGGCCTACTTATAATGCAATAATTTAATTTAGTATTATATAGTATTTGAAGAAAAGGAACCTAATTGAAAGGAAATAATATTTATACTTTTTAATTTTTAAATTTTTATTAACGAGATATCCCCTAATTGCAATCCGGTTGACAAATTGATGTTAGAAAATATGTTTATCAAATCTTGAAACATTACAGTAAAGATATCAGACGCATGAAAGAAACTATGTACACAAACCACTTGTAAGATAAGACAAATAAATTAGGTGGTAATGTTAGTGTATTTATTATCAAGTATTGATGACGTCATTAGTTTTGAGTATTTTTCCAGCAATGGCTTTTTATTTCTAGAATCAATGTCATTATATTGTGTTTACTTTTCCATCTTTCGAACTGTAAATATTTCGTTTCGTTTAGAAAACTTCATATGTTTCATATTGTGTCTTTTGCTATGCAATGTTTTTAATTTCCTTGTGTTTTCTGGAGAGCGTTCCCGACAGACAGAAAGACAGACAGAGAGACGGAATAACGAAATAATTATAGTTAACTAAATCAATCAAGTTTATGATGTGGAAATCAAAAGAGACTCATTTTGCTAATGTGTGATGTGTTCATTTCACTAAATCTACCTTGAACACTATAATACATGGAATTAAATATGCTGGTATTATTGTATAATTGTGATTTGTAATATGCAATATCTCTACCATGAAGTTTTAAGAATATTCATTAAAAGATCTAGCAGTTGCCTAAAAACGGCCAATATTCAATTATATATATATATATATATATATATATATATATATATATATATATATATATATATATATATATATACGTATATACATACATATATATGTATATACATATAAACAAATAAATATAAATATATATATATTTATATATATATATATATATATATATATATATATACATATATACATATATATATATATATATATATATATATATATATATATATATATATATATATATATATATATATATACATATGGTTATTAACTAATTATTGGTAATAAGTGCGTTTGTTTGATTCATTGTTCATTTGTTTTTTTTTTATTTAGGAGAGCTTACCTCTTTGAAATTTGAAACGCTTCAATCTGGATTACTAAAGGCCGAAAATTGTTCCGCAGCTAATAATATTCAAATGAAGTTTATAGATGAAATATATTTTAAATCTCTAATGATCAGGTACCAAGAAAAAAGTAAGTTTAAAAAAAAATGTGGGCTGATTTCCTATTATGGCAAAAGCCCATTTGGAAACTAATCACAACATTAATGTATCAACATTAAAGCAAACGTTAATTCTGAAAAACAAACTTCAGGTATACGACCTGAGGGTATATATATATATATATATATATATATATATATATATATATATATATATATATAAATATATATATATATATATATATATATATATATATATATATATATATATATATATATATATATATATATATAAATATATATATATATATATATATATATATATATATATATATATATATATATATATATATGATTTGCAAAGGGCCTTGTTGGACATTTCTGGCAATTTTAAGTCTTTGTCGTAGATAACTTTTTGTGAACGAATAAGTCTGTTGTTATTTGACTGTGTTACTATTCAGGTCACCTAACTATAAAGCATTACTGTCCTCGGATTTATGTTATAGTTTCTTATCTTTCAAATTACTCTAATGTTAGAGTATACAAGAATGTTAAGGGTCCTTACTCCCACTTTAGGATTTCAAAAGCTTTATTAAACACAGAAAAAAAGAGTTCAAACGAGATTTACATGAGTTGGTATTTTAACATAATTTTTAGCACTGCGGTCAACATTTTGTAGGTGGGATATAGTGGCAATCGGGCAACCTTTTTTTCAGACACATTCGGAAAAATTTCTTTCGTTTATTTTTTCTTAGCCACCTTTACACTATGTAGAGCAATAGTGTGTTTTAATGCAATAACTTTATACTTCTTCTAATTATACTTTAGGCACCCTTGTCAATGTAACTGTCTCATTGAAATCATTGGATGGAATCATATTAAAATGTGAAAAGATATTGACCTACTGGATCGATAGTTTTACTATGTGGATCGATTGTGCCAAAGATAGATTTGTGATTGAAGTAAACATAAAATTTAGTTCATTTGTTTCCGTTTGTCAAGTCAGATTAAACGGCGGTAAGTAGTGCTATAAAATTAATTTTGTTCGAATTGATGAAATGATAAATACTTATGATTATTATTAATGTTGTTACTATTTTTGCTGCTTCTTTTTTCGCTGTTTCTGTTATTGTTATTGTTGTTTTTTGCTGTTGCAGTTAGTGTTGTTTTAATTGTGAAGATTATTATTGTTATTATTATTATTATTATTGTTATTATTATTATTATTATTATTATTATTATTGTTACTATTATTATTATTAATGTTATTATTACTATAATTATTATTAATGTAATTATTATTGTTATTATTAGCATTATTATTAAATCATGAGTGATTTTAAAAAAAAATTCTACAATGTAATAATTCCATTATTTATAATTTATTATATTTTTGAAAATGCTCAAAAACTCAATGTAACATCTAAACAGGAAGAAATGTTATAAAAGAGTCTCGCATAGAAATTCATTCGAATGGCCTACGTATTCCGCTGAATAATACAGACTTGCTAGGGGTGTTCGATAATGAAGAAGAAGACATCAATTGTTTCACCATTATTAAACCAGGGCAAGAGATCATTTGGGAATCTAACTTTGATTGGCCGAGAGTAATATTTCAAATTTTAATTTTTACCACTGGTAAGATTTTGTATTTCTTGCAATGGTATAAGAAACTAAGAGCACTGCCTGATTTCGCATACGTTTTAAAAAATTGATACTTAAAATCTTACCCGCTTTACAACCTAAAATACTTATATTTATATTCTGGCTTATTGAAAATACAATTTTAAAATGTTTTTTCAGTATTTTAATTTGAATTTTTCTCTAAAACCGAGGGAAAGAAATTTATTTCCCAAAAAAAAAAAGAAATAAAAGACACACTGTTTAACTTTTCAAAATAGTAATTATTACCTTACAGCTATGTATGAAGCGAATCATTTAAAAAAAATATATAAACATATTTGTTACTCTTTAATTGAACAATGTTTCTAAATAAAAAAACAAAGGTTATAAAATCTTTGTAAAATACTATCTACAACAACCGGAGCTTAAAATTGTCCTTTGTAATGATTTAGAATTTTTAGAACTAAACCTATTTTCAACACATCTAGTCTTATTTTCTTACCAGTCACGTATTTACTGCGACCAAAAGAAAGAAAGGAATTCAATGACAATAGTCATTCTATTTGATATCGTATATTTTTAATACAACGTCGATTTAAATATGGGAAACATTTCATTTGTATTTAATTAATTTATTCTTGAGCTTGCAGATACACACTATGTTTCCTTTCTCCGGTTGGTAGACGAATAAATCAGATTTTTACAAAGCTTAAATACAATTTACAGAAGCACAGTCTCTCCAAATCTAGTCTTTGATTAACGGTTTTAGTTGTTCATTGATGTATTTCCAATAGATATTATTTTTAGACGTGGAATGTATGTAACAACTTTCCAATGCTTAATGGCGATCAGATTACCAGTGTAGCTATGCAGAAATACAAATCACATTCATAATGTTTGTATGATAATTAGTAGTTAGATCAGATTTTTAAATGTATAAGATATTTACAAATTTCATCACATTGTTATTCTTTTAGTTCCGGCTATAAATATTATAGTTTGAGGAATTTTTGGTAATTTTGCTATGTTTATAACATGAATTGTTGCTACTTGGTCAATGTTGAAACCAAGCCACGATATTTTAGGTAAGGCGTTAACTTTAATAAGTCTACGGAAAGTGCCCTAAATAAACTGAAATGTAATACTTTGATTTATCTAAAAATTATAAAAAAAACTTAAACTTATATTTTATAACAGAAAATTCTCCATTCTCAATTATAAAAGCATTTTTTTTCAGGAAATTTAAACACATCAATGCACAAATTTAAAGTCGAACTGTACAACGATGAACATGAATTAGTATTTACAGCTGCAATCGACAAGTTCTCTATACCTTATACGTTAAATATTGGAAAAATTGAAATGATCACGAAAATTGTCATCATTGCAAGCGAGATTATGGCACTGTGTGAATTACAAGCCTTTGGTGGTAAACAGATGTGTACATTTGAAGAAAACATTTACATAAACACATAAACAATACTATATGTGGTTACATGACAAATGATCTCAGAACAAATGATCTCAGACAAAATATCTCAGACAAAATATCTCACTAACAAATGATCTCAGAACAAATGATCTCATGACAAATGATCTCACGGGCAAAAGATACCAGGACAAAATATATCAGGACAAACGATATCATGGACAAATGATCTCAGACAAAATATCTCAGACAAAACATCTTACAGGGAAATTTGAATAGTATGTACGATGATTTTAGTTGATTTGAACTTTTTTTTATTGACAGTTAATATAGGTTGTTTACTTTTTTTAAGCATAATAATTGTGAATAAAATGAATTTGCTAAACCTAACAAGCCATCAAAAGATTTATTAAACTTTTTCGTAGCATTTGATTCGAAAAAGTAAAAATTATAACAAACTTACTCCTTTAGCCTGAAGGGTAGATTAAATGATAATGTATAAAACAAATAAAGTAATGGTTGTTTTATACAACGTTAAGGTTCAGAACACGCGAAATATTTTTCAAAAATGTGAATGGGTCTTCAGGTTTTATTCTTTCTTCTGTTGATTTGTTCATTTATCATGGTTTAAGTAATGGTGTTATTATCAACTTAATCCAATTAAATATAATTAAATTGGATTGTTTACAAAGAATACATATTCTATATTGTTACTTTATTTCAATAAATATAACTTGATTGACAGATTGCACGAATCGTAGATACGGCATAAACTGTAACCATATATGTATGACGACCTGCAAAAACCAAGAGTGCCAGTTTACAGGTGTTTGCAAATTGTGTGTTCCAGGACGATCTGGGGACTATTGTCTATATTGTAAGAGTTTTGAACAAACTTGCTTCACTGTTAGTTTTAGCAATATCTTTTAAAATATCTTTATATATTTAATAGAATACTTAAACAAATCGGTTTAAACATATGAAATAACTCAAACACACATAACCCCATAACCAAACACATACAAACGCACACTTACACACACTCACACTTACACTTATATTTATACATACACTTACATTTATACTACATACGCAGACGCACAGACCCAGATATTCATAGACATAGACGCACACACACACACACACACACACACTATATATATATATATATATATATATATATATATATATATATATATATATATATATATATATATATATATATATATATATATATATATATATATATATATATATATATATATATATGTAGACATAAACAAAGACTCAAACTTAGACACAATAATTGACATAGACAAAAACATAGACATAGACATCGACAAAGACATAGATAGACAAAAACAGATACAGAAAAAATTAGACACAGCTAAAGACATAGACATAAATATATAAAAAATATTCAAAAAAATTATTTTTTCAGCAAACACAACACTTAAGTTTCCAAACAATACGGATGAGAATTTTACGATACAACCACTGTTTTACTCCGAGCAACAAACCAGCTCACTGTCATGGGAGGAGCTTTTCGTTATCATTTTGGTCTTCGCACTTTGTCTTTTTGCATTGATGCTTATTTTATTCAGTCGGTAATTTTCTTTTATTTCAATCTGTCGTTTTAATAATACATTAATTGTAAATTAAATCGTTACTATCTTACCCTAGGCATTACCTAATAAAAATTTGCTATTTTTTTTCTAGTACTTCAATTCCACGCCTAAATTCTACTCAAGAACAATCTTCTTAAATGGGAACATAGGACCAAGGATTACTAAAAATACCGATGTTTATTGAATTTTTAAGAGATGTCTGATTCGTTTATATCTATATTGAATTGAGACATTCTACTCCTGAACACTTTAACTAGTCGTAATTAGATTCTAGAATGTTTTTGCCGTTTTGTTGAATTGATGTTTTCCGTATTGGTCAAAAACTCAACAATAATTATTAAAGATCAAATCAGTATGTTTTGATAAAAATTAAGCCTTTTGTTTAGTTTCGATTTTATGTTTTTGCTCACTATAACTAATAAATACAAATGTAATATTTTTTCTAGGCATTTTTGCAAACAAAACAACATGTCAAGCTAGATTTATATGAAAATAAATTATACTAATTAATATTTTTACAGCAGATTTCTCATAAATTCATTTACAATCCTAAGTAATTTCAAACAGATTATCTAAACCTTTAACATGAACTTGGTGTCTGCAACAATGTCTGCAACAATGTATGTACCTAATGTAAGGTAATTATCTGACAACATAATTAATGTAAATTATTTTATGTGACTTAGTGACAAGTCAGTATGCATTCCAAAACTTAGAACAAAAAGATGATTTTAATAACAATATACATCATTTTCTCTGCATTATTTATCTTTACAAAAACACTAGTTATCTCAAAATCGCAAGACAAAAACTATGCAAACAAGCTTACTGTACATAATTATTTGTTAAAGAGCACGACAATGTTTTGTATTTTAGACAAAATACTTCGGGACGACGTGGGCTAGTTTGCTAACGTACCTGAGTCTGATGGGTGCATTAACTCATATTGGTGAGAGTAAAGGAGGCTGGACATAGCGCTGACCACACTATCTCTTCATATATCGAGATCACAGAAATAGAGTAGCTCAACTTCACTTTCCATAGGGACCTTCGGATTCGAAAAGGGAACTTCACTTAGAGATAACAATTGTTTTACAATCTTTAAATTATTTTTTTTTAAAAATCAAGACATTTAGATATACAACTGTTTAAGTTACATCGCAGTAGATCGACTAAGTGACTCAAGATTTGATCTCAGGTAATCACTTCTGGTGGAAGAAGTATGATTGGTAGTTCAGTTCAATGAAATGATAACTTTCGAAATTTAACTTGGTTTCTCTCAACACTTGCATGGTGCATTGCATGTATTCTGAGTTTACCAGCGTCTAAGTTATGATTTATTAGCACTTACACATATAACAATTAAATTTATCACTTAAATGTAAGATATTTTCATTAACAAATGAATACTAATATCTGAATAATTAAACTCCTCTACATTTAAAAAGAAACTGGCCATGTAAGGTTTATTAGTGTAAGCGGTTCCAGTGTGTGAAGAAGTATAGGAATGTAATGTGTAACAGTGTCAAGTGTTGTAGATGTGTTACTTGTAACAAATGTCACATGATGATACACTTATATAAGAAACAGCTTATGTAAAATTATAAACAAGTTAATATTGTTGTCAACCTATCAAATTAACTGTGTATTTATTTCACTTTATGTTTAATTGATTTAAAATGTATAAATAAAATATACATTGTGTCTTTCCTGTAAGAAATACGGTAATCGAATGTTTTTATGTTTTCATTTCTATTTTGATAGGATTGGTTTGCGTGTTCCAAAGCATTCACCACAATGCTGCCTTACTTCGTTTTGGGTCAGATATCTATGTAGTAAAGCAACTAAGGCGTCCTCTATACTATGCATAGTAAAACACAGTTTGTGAGCTACAGGGCATTCATTACACTTTCAATAACCTAAACGCTGTTACACTCAATCTGTGCACATATTTTTAAAAATGACTAATAATTTTGAAAGTAATTCAACGAAAAGTCTGCAATTAAAATAAAAATACGCACACATTAGAAAAATATAATATAATATACAATGCAACAATGTATCTTACATGTAGTGATATTTTATGGAGGAGCTGGTACTCCAAATAATACACCTAAGAGATAATACATATTACATCTCACATTACCAAATCTTCTGTTGGAAAAATGTGAGTTAAAAAAATAATTTGTCCTTCCGGCAAATGTGCTACCAGCGCAAATATACATTGAAGTTAAGCATTGGAGTAATTACTCACAGACACATGATATTTTTAAATGAATCAGGGTTTTCTCTAAGCTTCTATAAAATGATTTAAAAATATATTCTTCGCACAGATTCTTTGTGTGTTTGTTTTTGTTGTTGCATACAAATGTATATTAACTGGTCAATTTTTTTTTCTTTCTGTCGCAATAAACAAAAATAAACACAAAAAAAATAACTCAATACACATACCAAAAGGCCCGTAAATGGGGATGGATCGGACACACATTAAAAAAAGAAAACATCGCAAAACTTGCTTTGGATTGGAATCCCCAGGGAAAAAGAAGGGTGGGCCGGCCCAGGAAGACGTGGAGAAGAACGATTGAAGAAGATGCAAAAACAGCTGGGCTCACATAGGCACAGATAAAGGGGCAGCCCAAAAACGAGTCGGCTGTAGATGTGTGGTTGCAGCCCTTTGCTCCCCATGGGCCACAAAGAAATGATAATGATGATGACATACCAAAAGAAAAAGTATTTAATGTTTTTTACTTTCTCGTATATACGAAGTATAGAGAAAGTCTTGTAATCGTGCAAAAAAAAAAAATAATCGAGATTTTTAGAAATCTCGACGTTTTACACCTCACTGATACAGAAAACTTGAGTACAGTTGCAGCTAGGTTGATTAAATTTCATATATAAGTATTTATCAAAATCGTAGATCCGTATCAACTTTTGAGCGATTTCCGATAACCGGAAGTGGTACTTTTTCTACTTTGAATTTTACAAAAGCCTATAACCTTAGTACTATTTTAGATAGATAAATGAAATTTCACGTGTAAGTAACAGATCTATTTCTCTACCTTCTGTCAAAGTTTGAGTAATTTCCGTTGAACGGAAGTTCTAAAATACGCTATTTCCGATTTCTCAAAAAGCGCATGTAAATTTATAAAGTACTAATAATATTGCGCACTACTATGCACATCTTTATTTGGCGTTCACTGGTGTGCAACTCTTTTTTCTACGAGATTTTATTCTATTTTAAAAAGTTTAAGTATTAAAAATGTATTAAAATTCATGTCTGTATCTCGAGTTCCCATCCCGTTTTTTTAAAAAGAATATTCGAGAAAGTTTAGGGGAGATCACTCCCGGTTTATTATAGAAAAAGAATGTGGAATCATGCTGCTATTAAGGCAGACTTATCACTCTTTTAGCTTGCTAAACTTGAATACTTACTGTACTTTCATAAAAATTAACATTGTAATAAATGCTTTTATTAGTCTTAAAAAAATTGGATTTTGCTAAGACCAACACAGAGAAGCGACAACAATAGACTTGAAAAGCTAGTTTCAAATGGTTCCAAATGTTTGTTGCCAGAAAGCATATTTTGCAACCACTATTAAATATTTTATAGCATTTGTGTAATAAGTACAAAATTTCTTCCCGTTTTATTAAGGCAAGAAATAGTCAATTAAATAATTACTAGTAATATAATAGTACTTTAGGAAACGCTTTTATTTATACAAGCTTTTATTTAACTCACTTTCTCGTTAGTCTGTCGTCAGTCGTCAGTCTGTCTGTCTTGTTTGAAACGCCCGAGCGAAATTGCAGGCACTTCTAACTGACAGATATGGTTCGTAGTTGGTACGTGGGTCAAGACATAAAGACAATGCAACATGACATTACATTTGACTTAATTTGTTGCTTGATTAATTTTTTATGAATTAATTAAAATTTTGACAAAATTAGTAGGCAGTCTCACCCAACTTTTCCGCACTTTTATACACAGGTATTACGTTCATTATGTGCGCAATGATTTTAGTCATGCAACTCTATTGTAAATTTGAAAAAAAGGTACTAAAAAATATCATAAAAAAACGTTTTAATAACAAGCTTTTATGAAACAATGCACTAAAAAGTAGAAAAAATAAATTTCTTAAAATATATTATAATACACTAATATTTATATAACTATAAAGAAAAGCGCGGATCACTTATTAGTAAAAGTATCCAAAAGATAATATACTGACTTACGCTTTTCTAGTTTAGTATGGTTACTTGTTTTTTTTTTCATGCCTATTGAGTTTGGCTTATGGTACAGTTTGTTTTTTTTAAAAGTTAATTGTTGATTTTAGGAAATTTGTATATTTTCTTGATGATGAAATTATGAGTTTTAATAGTAGGCGATGCGATTCAATGCCTTGTGCATTGGTGGGGTCGGATCATATCCGGCTAAAAATTATTTTTTAACACTGTTATTATTGCTTTTCACTAAAAGCACTTTGCTGCAACTATTTGCGCACTTTCTAAAGCGCTGACTTTGATCTATTCATGAACGGTAGTAAACCAAATATGAACAATGCATATCCTTAACTTCATACTATAACTCTTCACTAATGTATTATAATGTTGATATTTTAAAAACATATCGATCTCAATACATTATAAATTGTTGTGATGTTTTTATAAAGATCTAGATTTGATGTAATCTAGGTCTAGATATATACGTTGTGCTAATTATTATCGGTAAAGAGATCTAATAGGAATTTTAGAAAAGCTTAAATAATATCATTTCTTTTCTCGTTGCCGAATTGTAATCTTAATGTGTAATTTGTAATTAATAGGATTAATTGACTTTCAGTATTATAAATGTATTGGAACTACAGAAAATTATTTTAAAAAATAGCATTTTAACTATTTTTTTGGTGTGTTATTTGCTTTTTAGAATGCAGCTTTTTACTATTTCATAGTAAGTATATGCTTAATTGTTGACTAGAAATATGTGTTTCTTCAATTTCTATAAAATATGTTAAATATGATATACTTAATTTTAGGAAATCCAATAGTTGTCCTTTTAAGGGCTTGGGTAATTTTGAAATTAGACAAACATTTGTTCTAATCACACCAATACAACACATTTGTAATGTTGGTGTCTATGTTACATTTAGAATAGACTTTTGCAGGTTGTACATGAATTAATTGTGCATTAATGTTTTCTTCTTTTTAATATTACACATTAGGGTGCTTCTAGGGTCTAGTTTACAATTATGATTGCTAGAAAATATAA